GGGGGTGGTTGGGTGGGCTTCCCCCTCCATCTGTGGGTGGGAGAGTAGAGTTTGGAGGGTCTGCAGGGTAGCTGTGGGGGCGCTGGGATGAGGGGAGTCACTTTGGGGGACCCAGGGGGTAAATTTGGAAGTGGTGGGATGGGGGAAGTAATTTTGTGAGCTGGAATTGTGGGTGGCGGGATGGGGGAAATAATTTTGGGGGGTTCATGGACTTGGGGTTAGTGAGATGAGGGAGGCATTTTGGGGGTCCCTGGGCAGGCGTGGGTGGGGTTGGGATGGGGAGAATCACTCAGGGGAGTCCAGGGGCTGGATTTGGGCATCGTGGGGTGGGCATCCCCAACCTGGCATCCCCACTTTGAGGGGTCCCCAGTTTTTGGGGTTTTACCCCCCTGGGATACCCCTGCCCTTCCAGGGGACCCAAAGTTTTGGGCTCTTCTGCCCACTCAGGGGGTCTCCACCCAGTGGGTGCCCACGCCAGCCCCTCGCAGCCCCCACCCCTGCCGGGGGCAGGGTGCCGGGTGATGAGTGCCCCGCCATCCCCGTGCCTCGGGTGCAGGAGGGACCAGAGGCTTCCCCTGCACCCTGGGGACCCCCCGATCCCCCCTTTGTCACCCGCTCAGCGCGGAGTGCGTGGTGGCACCGCAGGACCCCCCCTCTGTGACATCCCTGAGGTGCGGATGCGCTTTTGATCACCACCACCCACCAGTTTGTCACCAGCGCCCAAAAGCGGGGAGTGCCCCACATCCTACAAGGGGGTGACAGCATTTTTGGCGTTCCCCCACGCCACTTCCAGCCCCCCGCATCCCCCCGAGGATGCCGCGCGACCCCGTATGCCCCACGCTGTCCCGGCCACAGCATCTCCCGAGGGTACCTTGGGGACTTTGGGGACTGTCCCCATGTCCCCACCGCCCCGTCCCCACGGTACAGCCACTGCTGCTCCCGCGCTCGGTGCCCGTTCCTGTCGCGGCTTCCCCATGTGAGCGGGCAGGAATTACAGTCACCCCGTCACCTCCTCCTCCTTCTCCGCCGCTGCCTCGGGAGGTGATGCCGCTGCTCCCGCTGGGGACGCGCTGGCGACACTCGGAGGACACCGCGGGTCGCCTCTCGAAGAGACTGCAGGGTCACGGTGGCTCCTAGAGTCCCCCTGACATGACAGCTGCAGGTGCCAGTTTGGGGACTGGGTGCTTGTTTTGGGGAGGGGGGGGGCTGTTTGGGGTCTCCAGGGTGGCTTCCAAAGTCCCCTCCCATCACCCCAAAGTCATCCCCAGCCTGTGCCTCAGATTCCCACCTTGCTCTGCAGGGACCACCTGGAGCTGATGTCCTGGAATTGGATTTATTTTGGGGGGTTTTGAGGTTGGGGCTACTGGGATGGGCTGGTGGGCCAGGGGGCTGGGTCAGGGTGTGGCTGGGCCAGTGGTCATCTGGGCTGGGAGCTGTCCAGGCTGGGGGCTGCAGACCAGAGTCCAGCTGGGATCCATGGGTCTGGTGTTCATCTGGACCAGTGTCCAGCTGGGATCCATCAGACCAACATCTGCTGGACCAGTGTCCATCCAGACTGGGCCGGTGTCCATCTGGACTGCTCTCCAACCTCTCCTGCCTCCATCCAGCCCAGGCTCCCCGGCTGGGGCCGCTCCTCACTGCAGAGTGGACAAGACCCACAGTCAGTCACAAGATGACGCTAAACCCCTTCCCACCAACCCCACCAGGCCACCCACCCCAAGTCCCCGTGCCACTGGTGACCCCTGGAAGCCAGGCCAGCTCTGGATCTCCTGGAAGAGGGCATTGCCGGGGCAGTCGGTGTGGCCGAGCTGGCGGTGGCCGCGCAGGATGAAGTCTGGCCGGACGTGGCCAAAGCGGATGGCGCAGGGCAGGAGCTCATCCCGCACCAGGGCCAGCGTGTCGGGGTCCGGCAGGGTGGCCGTGAAGTCCCCAACGATGCCAACGCCGAATCCTTGGGTGTTGTAGCCCTTGGTGTGGGCACCCACCCAGTGCCACCCCCGGCCCTCGTACAGGTACCCATCTGAGCCCACCACAAAGCTGCAAGGACATGATGGCAGTGAGGGGAGAGTGGTGGGGACTGTGGGGGGACAATGGTGGGGACTGCAAAGGGACAGGGATGGGGATAGTGGAGAGACAGTGATGGGGACAATGCGGTGACAATGGTGGGGGCTATGGAGGCTTATGGGGACAGAAGGGGAATTGGGAATGGGAACTGTGGGTCAACAGGGATGGGGACTGTGAGGGAACAGTGATGGGGACTGGAAGGGGACAGGGAGGGGGATTGTGGGGGTTATGAGCACAGTGTGGGGACCGGGATTGGGACTGGGAGGGGACAGTGGTAGGGACTCTGGGGGGACAATGGTGGGGGCCATGGGGGGACAGTGATGGGGACTGTGAGAGGACAGTGGTGAAGTCTGTGAGGGGACAATGACATGGACTGCAGGAGGACAGTGATGGGGACCACAGGGGATGACAGTGACCATGGGGGTAGACAGGGACCATGGGGAGACAATGACCGGCCCCACAGGGGTGGCAGGAACCAGTGGAGGTGACAGTGCCCACAGGGGTACAATGACGGAGCCCATGGGAGGTGATTGTGAGAGTGACAATGCCCACAGGGGTACAATGACAGGAACCAGGGGGGTGACAGGGACTGTGGTGGGTGCCAGCTCCCCAGGGGGTGACAGGGACTGTGGTGGGTGGCAGGGACTGAAGGAGATGACGGGGACCACAGGGAATGACATGGCCTCAGGAAGGTGGGAACCAATGGAGGTGACAGTCCCCACAGAGGAACAATGACTGCTCCCAGAGGGGTGCCAGGGCCTGTGGCAGGCGCCATCACCCCAGGGCGGTGACAGTGACCTGTAGCCAATGTCGTCCCAGCCGCGGGTGTCCTGGTGGAAGCGCTGCATGTCCCTCATGGCGCGGGTGCAGGCGCTGAAGGTCCGGCAGGGCCGCGATGGCTCCAGGGTGTGGTGCAGGAAGACCGAGCCCAGCGGGGGCTGCAGCGGGGCCGGGGTGCCCCGGTAGGGACGGGCACCCCACAGGCAGCGCGGCATGATGGCCGGGCACTCTGTGGGGACAACAGGGCGGTGTTCCCTGAGATCTTGGGGAGATGGCAGAGGCCATGGGGGGACAAGGGGCTTGATGGGTCCTTGGGGACACGGTGGTGTCCACATGGGAACATGGGACTCCTTGGGGACATGGTAGAGTCCACCAGGGGACGAGGGGCTTGGGGGTAGACACAGTAGAGTCCACATAGGGACAAGGGGCTCTGTGGGCCTCTGGGGACATGGCAGAGGCCATATGGGTACAAGGAGCTCCTTGGGGACACGGTAGAGTCCACCAGGGGATGAAGGACTTGACAGGTCCTTGGGAACATGGCAGAGGCCATGTGGGGACATGAGGCTTGAAGGCGACACAGTAGAGTTCATCAGGGAACAAGGGGATCCTTGGAGATGTGGTGGTGTCCATGTGGGGACAAGGGGCTGGATATGTCCCCTGACTGGGGACATGGCGGAAACCATGTGGGGACAAGGAACTCCTTGGGGACATGGCAGAGGCCATGTGGGGACAAGGGGCTGGGTATGTCCCCTGAGCTGTTGGGGACATGGCAGAGGTTGTGTGGGAACAAGGGGCTTGAGAGGTACTTGGGATCATGGCAGAGCCTGTGTGGATACACAGGGGGTGCCAACGCCCATTTAGGGGGTGACAATTCCTGTTTGAGGGGTGACACCCCCGCTTAGGGGGTAACAATCCCTGTCTGGGAGATGACAACTACTGTTTAGTAGTGACAACTATGGGGGTGACAACTCCATCTGGGGTGGGGACAACGCCTATTTGAGCAGTGACAATCTGTATTTGGGAGGTCACAATGCCCGTTTGTGCAGTGGCAATCCCTGTTTAGGGGGTGACAACCCCTGTCTGGGAGGTGACAACTCCAGTTTGGGAGGTGTCATCCCCATTTACGAGATGCCGTCCCACCCGTACCCACGTAGCGCTCGCTGAACTCCTGCGACGCCCTATGAGCCACGGCCGCCACCTCCTGTGTCCCCACGTCCCTCAGGAGCTCCGAGGTGGGCGACAGCGTCCTCAGCAGCCCCAAAACCGCCGCCACCTCCTTCTCCAGCCGTCCCTGTCCCGCCAGTGCCCCAAAATCCCGGCGCCGGTAACTGCTGGGGGGTCTCCCCACTTCCGAGCCATTCCCGGTCCCGTAGTAGTCCCGAAGCAGTTCGGCCACCGGGAGGGGTCCCCGGGCCAGCCGCGCCCCCAGGACCGCCCCATCCATGGCCCCGATGGCCACAGGGTCGGGGACAGGGGACGGGGGACCCCTCAAGGTGTAATTCTGGGGGTTCTCCACGTCGTCCCAGCAGCCACCGGGTCCCAACGCGGTGGCGTTGTTGTCACCCCGCTGCGCCAGCAGGAAGGATGTCCCCAAAGCCTCGGCAATGGTGACAGCCAAGAGGGGGTCGGCGGGCGGGTTGAGGGTGGGGAGGGGTTGCCCAAACCCGCCGGATCTCAGCCCAGCCTCGATGCCGGCCAGGAGGGGGCCGAGGGCCACCGTGGAGCCATCGGGGGCCAGCACCGCCCCCAGCTCCGGTGTCGCCGGGTCGTGGTGGAGGAGCTCGGTCAGGAGCTGCCACTGGCCCGGGGTGAGAGCCGGGGGACGTTCGGGGGTCCCGAGGGGCTCGCCCAGCACCGCCCGGCACCCCGGGGTGCTGCAGACTCCCAGCCCCCTCCCCAAAGCCGCGGCGGTGCCGGGGGAGCCGCCCCGGGCCGGGGACTCGAGGGCGTCCAGGATGTCGACCACCGAGTCCATGTGGCGTGGGGGGACAGTTGGGGACACAGCTGGGGAGGTTGGAGGGGGGGGAGGCACCCAAAAATGTGCCACAAGCAAGGGGAGGGCTCCAATATGGGGGGAAAGTACCCAAAATAGGGGGAAAGGACCCAAAATAGGAGGAAAGTACCCAAAAGAGGGGGAAAGGACTCAAAAGAGAGGGGAACAGACCCAAAAGAGGGGGAAAGGACTCAATATAGGGGGAAAGGACCCAAAATAGGGGGAAAGGACCCAAACCAGGGGGAAAGGACCCAAAAGAGAGGGGAACGATCCAAAATCAGAGGAAAAAAAGGTGTCCTGGGGTGTTGTGGGATGTTGTGGTGTGTCCTTACCTGTGCCAGGGTGGGCACAGACGCTCAGTGCCAGAAGCAGCCATGGGAACATCCTGCAGGACACGGTGACACCTTGAGGGACACGGAGACAGCCTGTGGAACAGGGGGACACCCTGCAGGATACGAGGACACCCTGTGGGACACAGGGACCTCCTGCGGGACACGGCCCTGGGGCCTTGGGGACTTTGACCCCACAGGGACACACGTGGGAGGGACAGGGACACAGGGAAGGGGCCAGGGAGACAGGGAAAGGGACAGGGACACACAGAAAGGGACAGGGACACATGGGGAGGAGGGAACACAATGCCACCAGGATACACATCAGGGACAATGTCGCCACATCTGCACACCTGTGGGGATGCTGCCACCATGACATGTGAGCACATGAAGCCACCAGGATGTGTCAGGGGACGCTGTCACCAGGCCATGTGACCCCCCCCCAGGTGACACTGACCCCTTGTTCTGTCCCCAGAGGCAGTTTGTGTCCCCTGAGTGCAGTGGCTCTGGGACACCCTCGTGGCTGTCACCTGCTTCTAGGCCACTTGTCACCAGCTGAACAAGTTCCCTGTCCCGCCCTAGTGGGTGGTGACATTCAGCTGGGACACCATGGTGGTGACAGTAGGGACACGGTGGCAGGAACTGCATCAAGCAGTGCTTTGTCACGGCTGAGATAAAGTGCTGGTGGCACTGACACTGTCCCAGTTCATGACCCCACCCATGTCCATGTCCCTCCATGTTCCCATCCATGTCCGTGTCCCCTCATGTCCCCATCCATGAAGGGGATGTCCACATCCCTGTGCCTCCTGTCCCCGCTGCTCCCCGCTACCTTCACTCCCTCCATCAAAGCCCCTCTCAGCCTCTGCACAGTGACCTCTGGAAAGAGAGAAAGAATGAAGGAAAGGAAGTGTTGTCTCTTCACCCTGCCTGGATGCCAGGCACCCACCAAAGCTGCTCTCTCACTCCCCTCCAGAGATGGGCAGGAGAGAGACAATAGAATGAAGGCTTCATGTCTTGACTTAAGGACTGGGACAGATCACTCAGCAGATACCATCATGGGCAAAACACATTTGAAATTAGAGACATTAATTGAATTTATTGCTATCAAAATCAGAGCAGAATAGTGAGAAGTAAAATAAAGCTTTAAAAACACTTTATGCCCATCCCTCCCTCCTTCCCAGCTCTGCCTCCTCCCCCAGTGGGCGCAGGGAGACAGGCAATGGGGGTTCTGCTCACCCCTTGTTTCTCCTGCTGCTCGGGCAGAGGAGTCGTTCCCTGCTGTGCCAGGGGTCCCTTCCCCAGACACTTCTCCATGAACTTCTCCCGGGTGAGTTCATCTCATGGACAGCAGCTCTTCGCAAACTGCTGCAGCGTGCCTCACTCTCCCGTGGGCTCACAAGTCCTGCCAGGCCCCTGCTCCAGCCTGGGCTCCTCTCCACACGGCTTTGCAGGTCCCTGCCAGGTCCCTGCTCCAGCACAGCTTTCCCGTGGGGTCACAGCCCCGCTCAGGCACCCCCTGCTCCGGCACGGGCTCCTCCAGGCACTGCAGGTGCATCTCTGCTCCCCCTGCCCTCCATGGGCTGCAGGGCCCGGCTGCCTCCCCAGGGACTGCCCCAGGGAATCTCAGGGCAACCAGCTCCACGCCTGGAGCAGCTCCTGCTCCTCCTCCTGTCCTGCCCTGCCCTGCCCTGCCCTGGCGTGTGCAGAGTTGTTCCTCTCACATGTTCTCACCCTGCTCTTCCCTGCTCACAGTTAAAACTACACAATCACCCATTTTGTTTTTCTTAAATCTCTTATTCCAGAGGTGTTACCAGCATTTCTAACTGCCCCAGCCTTGGCCGGTCCATCGTGGAGCCGGCTGGAATTGACTCTGTGGGACATGGGGGAGCAGCTGCTTCCATCATCCTCTCACAGAAGGTGCTCCTAGACTCCCCCCTGACCAAAGCCTGGCCATGCAAATCTAGTATAAGTATGGAAAGGCTTTAAAAACCATTATTAATTGCCATTATTTATATTATTGCTATTGTTGCTATTAATGTTACAGTTATTATTATTAATATTTTAATTTTTTTTTTTACTCCATACTAATAGTGGCTATAATAGAACTTGAAATCAAAGTTCTTAATTTCAAGTAGAAGTTATAATTTTGGCAGTTGCTTGCCCTGCCCTGTTCTGTGTCATTACTGTGTGTGAAGCTGCCAGGGTTCCCTATTTCCCTGATTTGGGAAAATTGATGGCATTGCTCACATGTCAGAAAGAGAGGGCTTGTTCCAATCAAATGGAACAATCCTTGGATATATGGAAATTTGGAAGCAGAATCCCAGTTTTGACCATGAGCACCTGGATGGGAATGATGTTTTTTTTCCATAGTAGGGAAAGGGTGGAGCCCCAATGTCTTGAAAGCAGATGAAAGGTGGCCCCCAGGAGGTCAAGGCCAGCAACACATCTGTCCTTAAAGCTCTCACCGAGGAGCAATCCTTGGATATACAGAATTTGGGAGGTAGGATCCCAATTTTGACCATGGGCACATGGACGAGAAGGACAGTTCTTTTCCATAGTAAGAAAAGCACGGAGCCCCAGTGTTTTGGTATCAGATCAGAGATAGGCCCCAGGAGGCCAAGTCAGCCAGACCCACCTGTCCTGGCACCTTTAGTGACAGAGCAATCCTTTGGTAGAAGAAATTTTGGAGCCAGAATCTCAGTTTTGGCCATGGGCCCCTGGAGGAGAAGGACAGCTTTGTTCCATAGGAAAGAAAGCATGTAGCCCCAGTGCTCCAGGGCAGATGAGAAGCAGCCTGGTCCCTTGGTTCCATGGGGCCCAGCAGTGGCCCGATGACCCGCTTGGATCAAATTCCAAAATTACAGGGCTCCCAAGCAAAAATGTAGGAATAGGAATAACAGTTCTTTGGTATAAAATACATAGAGAACAGAACAGAACAAACACCAACATGCTAACAGAAGTTTTCCACCTGCTAAGCACAAATGATCATGGGATACTCCATTCCTTATCCATCCCACAGACAGGTTTGAGGAATAAACCTTGTGTGAGCCCACCAGGTGCAGAGGATTTTTCCTTTGACAACACGGGGGATGCTCTGGGGGGCTCTTGGGAGACTGAAATATTGTGGTTCATGACTTAAACTTTGTCAGGAAGGACTTTTTGCCCATTATGGCAGCATGTCCAGAGGAGGGCAATGAGGCTAGTGAGGGGTTTGGAACACAAGCCCTGTGAGAAATGACTGAGGGAGCTGGGGATGTTTAGCCTGGAGAGAAGGAGACACAGAGGCAACCTTATCTCTCTCTACAGCTCCCTGAAAGGTGGTTGTAGTCAGGTGGGGGTTGTCTCTTTCTCCAAGCAGCAGCGGAGAGAACAAGAGAACACAGTCTCAAGTTGTGTCAAGGGAAATATAGACTGGATATCAGGAAAAAGTTTTTCACTGAAAAAGTGATAAAGTTCTGGAATGGCTGCCCGGAGAGGTGGTGGAGTCACCATCCCTGGATGTGTTTAAAGAAAGACTGGATGTGGCACTGGGTGCCAGGGTTTAGTTGAGGTGTTTAGGGCATGGGTTGGACTCAATGATATTGAAAGTCTCTTCCAACATAATAATTCTGTGAATTCTGTGAACTGTGTAAAGAAGCTGCAACCACCCAAGGTTGCCCCTCCCTGAATGTGCCTCCTGAGGGGAATTTTTGGGCTGTGAGTTGAGCTGAGGGACCTTGAGATAAAGGACTCACATGACTCTTGTCCAGTGATCTCAAGTCTAGGGAGAAGTAAACAAGGCTGAGGGAGAAGAATGAATCCACCAGAAAGCCAAGCCCAGAGCTGTCCTGAAAATCATCCCAGGCTGGGGTCAGCCACAGCCCACAGACTCATTTGCTGAGACTAGATTTGCATCCCCATTACCCAGTTAAGGGGGGAGGAGAAGAGTTTTGGGGGTGTGGGGTAACCCCTGCCCAGGGGGAGTGAACACCACCCCCCTTACCCAGACTGGTTCAGGTGTAAACCTCCCAGCCCGGGAAGTCCACACACACACAGGGGACAGCGTCACTCTTGCCCCTCCCCAGGAAAGGTCTCTGTCCCTGTCACTTTCTTTCTCTCCCGTCTTTTCTCTTTCACAGGCTGGAGGGCTTTACCAAATGTGAGAATCATTCTTCTCTTGGTCCCTGTCACCTTTGTGACAGCTACACAGAATTTTTCTTTCCTTGTAATAATCGGTATTGGGCCAAATTTCCCCTTTTTTTTTTTTTTTTTTTAATTGCAACGTGCCAGCAGCTGAGCTGGAGCTGTGCAGGTACTGATGAAACTCTGAATCGCCACCGTAATTGCTTGTATTGTCTGTTTATTCATGTTTGGGATTTGTTTGCATTTCATCACAAGTGACTTGTGGGAAGAACAAATATTCCTGAAACACCTTGGATGTAATAAACTGCATTTGGAAGAGCCACCTGGAGTCCTGCATCTCTCATTCAGGCTCTTACACCATGCCTCTTACCCTGGGGGATGCTTGGGAGGGAATTGGGGCTGTTGTCCCTATCCCTCTTGTTATAGATGAATAATGTAATAGTTGGCTCACACAATTAAGAGGTAGATATTATGTGGATGTTAAAATGTATAGTGATGTTATTGTAATATGTCTTCCCATACTCCTCTTTCCCCTTCCCCTTGCAATGGCCTCAGTAGTCAGGACATTTGGAGAAGGCTGGCTTATTACCAGGAGGTGCAGTGTAACAACACCTGATCTCCAGTCAAGATGAAAGAAAGTAATCCCCACCAATGGATGGCAGAGAAAGAGTTGACTGACAAAACTTTGAGAGGGGCTAAGGGTACAAAAAGAAGAGCATCCATTTTGTAGAGAAGCACGTGGATGATAGTCATGGGGGGGCTCCCAGCGCTGTAGTTTTTCCTTATTTAGTCCTGTGTTGTAATTTTTGTTGAGGTTTAATAAACCTTTTACAATTTTAAAAGTGAGACTAGTTTCTCACTTTTGGTGAGATTGGTCCAGGATATTGAGTTGTTAAAACCAAAGATGGCGGACAGAGACTCTACCTAGTTAAA